AAAATTCACGTTATATTATATAACACTTTTTTTCTTATTATAAACAAAGATTAAAATGGTGGCATTTGAGCCTCGTAATCTAATAATCATGGATCACGTTAAAAGTGCATTCTCCATTATAAGGGGTTGGGGTTGATTCCTCCACGCAATGTAATCCGATAAAAAAAAAAAGAAGAAAAGCGGTGGTTCTTAATTTGCTCGTTGCAGGTCGGCAAACTGCAATGATGAAGGAGGAGGAAATGAGTAATGAAAAAATTAGAGGTCTTGAGTGACAGGGCCTTTTTTTATTTTTTGCTTGTTTCTATTCCAGAACAAGTAGTACTGTATCTGATGCAAATTTCTGCAGTCTAGAGTGCAGGGACCCTCAGGCCTAAGAGGATATGCCCATCATTTAAAAAAAAGGTTTTTTTGAACATGGAACTTCGTGGGTTTGGGGGTGTGGGTGGAAAATTACACTCAAGGTTTTAAAAATCGAACCGGATTGATCGGTGGAATCAGTACCTGGTAGTATAAACGATTCAATTTTATTTTTTAAACCGTTTAAAGATCAAACCATTTAAAAACCAATAAGAACCATTAGAACAATTCAAACCAAAAAATCATTCGACCGAATGGTTCAATACTTGAGAACAAAAGCTTTAGAAATTTGTCCCCCATGAAGGTTGAACTTGCAACCTTTGAAGTTCTTTTAGTTTATTCCAACCCTTTGCCACCAAGACAATGCACTCCGTTTATCAATGGATGCTTGAAATTTTATTTAACTTATTTTTAAAACCATAATTATTTAAAGTTTGCTCATAAGGATACTCGAATTTGTAATCTTTGTTATGGGAAAACAACCACCTACCATCACACCCAATGGATATTTTGTGAAATATTTTACAAAATAATATATTTATACTATATTAATGAACCGGTAATTTTACCGGTTAAATCGATCAAACCGTGAACCGGAGGTCAAAACGGTTTGACCTCCGGCTCGGGTTTTAAAACATTGATTACACATTTACACCACAGAATATCGAACCTTTACTGGGCAGATGGAACACCCATTGGGTGACCACCTGATGCCAGGTTCAGTTGAAGGATCTGTTGCCCATCATCATTTCGTTGAAATTTCAGAAATCTTTGAATGGGGAAGAGAAACCTTGACGTGAAATATGACTGCAAAGGCCTGCAATTATCACCAAGAATAAGAATATTTCTCTGCATTTTTTGTTGTTCATGAGAGGACATGTATTAGCTGTTTTTCTGAAAGCAATAAGAATTACCGCTTAGACATGAACAAGTCAGTTCAATGCAGAACTTTGATTTGGTTTTGACAACTCAGGCTGATAATTTCGTGAGTCTCAAGCAAAAGTTATTGTAGGAAATTTTCCATTTCTATTGGGTTAAGATTTTTTTTTAATAATTTTTAATTGATTATTTATTATATTTAAATATAAAAATTTTTATTTAAAAATTTAATTTTGGGACTTTACAAGTTATTGCCTCAATGAATTGAAGCTGAAGGAAGATCAAAGATTTTATTACATTTATAATTG